CACAAAACCACTGCTCAAACGGTGCCCGAATTGAACCAGGTTAAGTTAGATTTGGAACTACAATTTCTGGAAACCCACTTCCATTCACAACACACTCACAAAATGATTACTCACAATTTACCAAAAAATCAAGCATTATATCATCAACCTTCAAAATCAGGCATTATATCATCATCCTTCAAATAAAAATTCTTGAGATGATTGTTTAAAACTAATTCTATTACTACACACTCACATCTATTTTCTTCAATTTAAATACTTGAATGATTTCAAAATTGAAGTTGCACAAAGTTTTTTATAACTAAAAGTATTTGTTATTGACCTACGGTCTACACTTTGGTAACCTAGGCGAGAAAAGAAAATATTATGATTTATCTTCCTTTTGTTTGGGTAAATAGATGAAAAAGTAAAAGAAAATATATTAATTTCTCTCATATTTTATTTAGTTAAACTATATAAAAGAAAATAAAAAAGAAAAAGAAAAAGAAATGATATCATGTTATATTACCAAATTAACCAAGGTGTTAGTTTTTTTTTATTTCTTATATATCTAAAAGGGTAGTTTTAGTATTATAGCAAAATAATATTTATTTGGTTTTTTTCCACCCCCAATCTCTCCACTTTTGGAGACATTTAAAATAGGACTATGAGATAAATGAGTTTCTCTAAATTTCTTTTCATTCCACTCTATTTCTCTTTTTTGGCTTATCCAAACAAGTAATATGAATTAAGAGAAATGCAATTCTTTTATTTTCTTCCCAAATCGCTCAATGTAAACCGGTTGTCAGAGAGATTTTGAAGATTGGAACGAGATGAGGGAGTAACAAAATATGAGATGTAAGGGTTAACAATTTATGCACACATACGGGATATTAATGAAATATTTGAATGTTTATGATAAATAGCAAATTACACGTATATTTAGACGGTGTGGTTCAATTTTAAATTGAAATTATAACTATAAAATGATAGGCCGAAACATGATATAAAATTCATCTATTCTAAAAATTAAGAACAAACTATGCATTGAGAAATAGCAATCATATCATATCATTTAATATGGATGAGGTTGGTCAGTAGGATCTAGTAGTCAACATATGACCAAAATCTAACATACTTTTATGCCCCAACATTACTGGAATGACATGCAAAGATATGAAATGGACTAGTAAGACATTTCCAATAAATAAACAAAAACTAGCAAAGAATTTATATCTATACGCAGTATTTATTTATTTATTTATTATTAGGGAAAATTACAATCACCTTCTCGAGGTTTGGTGAAAATACAAATTCCCCTCTGAGGTTTGAGAAATTACAAATTGCCCCCTGATGGTCAAATTTTCATAACAAATTAGGGAAAATTATAAGGGAATCTGTATGAAAATAAAAACCTCAGGGGACAATTTGTTATGGAAATATAAACCTCAGGGGGCGGAATGTAATTTTTCAAGCCCGAGGGAGAAATCTGTATTTTCACCAAACCTCGAGGGAGGTGTTTGTAATTTGCCCTTATTATTATTATTTGGATCTGGCAAAGAGAATTATATTGACGAAAAAACCTATGAGTAAAAAGATGGATACGTCACAGATAAATCAATACCAAACCTAAAAGAAATGTAGCTAATCTCTTCCAAACTAAACTGATAAGAGCACCCATTAAAACGATGGTGATTATTGAGTACACTCAATGATGGCTACGTGGTGTTCTATAATATTATAATTGGTGGAGAAGACGGGATATTATGATTTTGTGTTAAGTGATTAAGAAACATGAAAGGACATGGTGCCTAATGATTAGTGAAGGAATAAAAGCACGTGATATTTTAGAATTGTCTAATATTTATATTTTTTAAATGAAAGCAATAGAAATTTGATCATCATGATCAAATCTTACATTATATCCAACACTATCCATATATATATATATATATATTTTTAAACAGAAAGATTAAAATTTATTGATGTTAATACAAAAGTGGGAACATCAAACAAACTCAAAAATACAAACAAACCCAAATCCAAAATGAAATTGAAACAAACTCGGACAGAAACCAAAACACCATTACAAGATAACATAAAAACAGGAAACTAAAACTTTTCAAAATACTAATTTACTTCTCCTTTCTGTATTAGGGGTTTGTAGCAGGTAGACAACAACGAATTGATAGTCCCACACATAAGATGCAACCGATCAAGGGAAACCAACAGCGGACGAGGGAAGATTGGATGCAACCAATATGAAAGAGGACATGTAAATAAATGCAATTCCCACTTGCTCAAACACATTTGCCTTCCAAGGATCCGCCACACGAAGCGAGATTCCGAATAGTAGCGCGACGAGGGCAGCAGAAAGTAAGCACAAGATCAAATCCAAAACTGGGAAGGGAGGGGGGGGAGACATGTTTTTCGTGTAGTTCCAAGAGAATTAAGGCCATAGGCCATATGAAAGTGAGAAACGATTTCCTAATCTCTAGGTCACGAAAAGCTTGGGCTATAGAGTTAGGCAAGTAGGCTCGAATTTATAGAGCCTCAAACATGAAAAGAGAAGGAGGTTGGATTCCAATGGTTAACCAAAGAGGAAGGCAAGTGTCTCACAGCTCGTGGTATAAAGGTCAAAGGGCAGGTCTATTCACTCTTTTTGTGGATAACCTACCTGAATCAATGGACTCGCAAAGCTTATACGATCTGTTCTTCAAGTTTGGAGTGGTAAATGATGTATTCATACCAAGAAAGAGAAGGAAATCTACAAATACGCGATTTGGGTTCGTTAGGTATGACTGTTCCATTTTAGCCAGAATAGCAGAGCAGAAAGCGAATGGCTTGTGGGTTGATGATAAATCTCTGGTAGTCAAAATCACAGAGTATGGTAATGGAATAGAGGAAATGAAGAAACTAGAACCAATACCAGCTAAAAAACCAGAGTCAAGTAAGCCATTTGCTATGGCCGTCAATAGAAAATGGAATCAAGGAACTAACAAAAGGTCATTCGCAGATGTCATCAAGGGCACCGATTTAAGATGCCTACCTAAGACAACTATCAGAGTAGAAGAGATAGGTAATGGGTGGTTGTTTGAGAGTATGATCATGAGACTTAAAACAGGTTACTCTGTTCAGGAGGTGAAAAATGAACTTAAAAAAAGAGGCATGTTGAGTGCTAGTTAGAGAAGGTGGAAAGCGAGATGCAATCATATCATTTAAAACGAGGGAAGATTTGTTGAATAAAAAATCTTTGCTCAAAGTTTGGTTTCATGATTGGTGTGAGTACATCACTGAGTGGAGATCTGGTATGCATCTCCAATAGGAGAGATATGTTTGGATCAAATGCTATGGGGTACCCCTTAATCTATGGAACTCAGATACCTTCAAAAAGATTGGAAGGTTATGGGGGGGGGAGAGAGAGAGAGAGAGAGAGAGATGGTTATATTAGATGGAGATATCTGCTCACCCAAGTCATTTCGTTGTGGGAGGCTCAAAATAATCACAGGCGTTATGGACCTGATTAGCACAAGCCTGAACCCGGAGTGCAAAAGAAGAATCTACCCCATAAGAGTTTATGAAGAACAAAATACAGAAGATGTAATCTCTAGCTGCAAAGGAACCACTACCAATGGGGTCGAAAAAGATGGTTGCTCCAAAGTAAATGGGTTACACCAGCCCATTGCAGATAACAATCAAGAGGTAGAAGGTGATGACAAAGCAAATGAAGTGGCAGGAGAATATGAAGTGTCAAATGGGGCCATGGCATGTAGGATAAAGGGCAGAGTTGGTGGTTGGTGGTAGTTGGTAGTTGGAGTCATGCCTCAGCAGTAGAGGAGACTAAAGATTTGGGGGGAAATTCAAATGAAGAAAACACCTGTGTGGTAGAGTCATCATTACCAGAGGCAAGCCTGCGGCAGAGGCAGTGGTGCAATCATATCAATCAAAAAGGTATGGAAGCTTCTTTAGTGGAACACAATCATGATACTCAAAAAGCTGAGATAGCCCCTACAGCAGTGGATGGCCAGATACTCACACCAGGTTTTATTAAAAGTCTAAATAAGCCAACCAAGAATAAATCTGGTATTTGTCTGGAGGTAGATCTAGGCCTTGATCAATCTGGATTGCAGCCCACTGAGGCAGCCTACGGTAGTGTTCAGCCCATTTGACTTAATGATAATGTTCCCAATCCATCTTCTGAGAGGCAAGGGTGTGGAGTTTCAGATGTGGGTTCCCAATCTAAAGACAGTGTCTCCATCAGCCCGTTATTCTCAGCCTCTATTAGCACTCGTATAAAGAAAGGCAAAAGGCAAGGCATCAGAAATGAAGGCAACAAGAATCCTCTGTTTATTGGTAGATTCACTGGGTTTGCTAGAAGATTTGGGCAAAAAGGTATTGGAACCAGAAAAAGGCTCCATGGCAAGATCCAGTGCCGCCACTAAATCAAATCACAGCTTACAATTCTCTTCTAGTAAAGACAAAGAAGCTCATGCAACATTGCAGTTGGGGAAAGTGTTGGGTATTGATTATAAGGGGTAGTTATCTGAGATAATCAGTAAATTAACACTCATGGAGAAAAAGGATCAAAAGAGGTTGAGAAGAGGGACTGGTATAGTGGACTAATCAACTCTAATTTGGTGGAATCAGTGAAGTGTCTGCTTTTATGAAGACACTGAGTTGGAATATCAAAAGAGTAGGAAGGCAAGAAAAGAGAAGAAAGATTAAAAAAAATTATTAGAAAGGAAAATTGATTTGGCATTGTTTCAAGAAACAAAAAAATCAAGTATAACCAACTTGATGGTGAAAAGTATTTGGCCTAGGGATAGCTTTGAGTTCATGGCTGTGGATGCAGATGGGTTGGCCGGGGGTCTCTTATGCATCTGGGATCCTAATGTCTTTCAGTTCACAGATTGTTGTAGCAACAGAAGTTTCATATTACTTTCAAGTAAACTCCAAAACTCATTCGATTGTGTAATTGTCAATGTCTATGCTCCCAATGTCGTTATAAGTCGAGGGAAATTATGGGAAACACTGTTAAATTTGAAAGATTCTTCCCTAAGCCCTGGTGTCTTGGTGGTGACTTCAATAAGATCAGAAATTTAGGGGAAAGAATTGGAACATCAAGAAGGGATAGGGGCATGAAAGAGTTCAATGACTTCATAGATAGGTGTGAGGTGGTAGATGTGCAAATGATAGGAAGAAAATATACATGGTGCAATGCTCTTAATGGAAACAAATGGAGTAGGATTGACAGATTCCTTATTAATCCAGAGTGGATGGAGAGATTCAAGTTCAAACTTTGGGGTCTTCCAAGAGTAGCATCTGATCACTGCCCAATTGTGCTCATGGAGGATGAAAAGGATTGGGGGCCTAAACCTTTCAAGTTTTTGAATGCTTGGCTTTTGCATCCTAACTTTGCTTCTTTTGTGGGAAAAACTTGGCAAGAAACTTAGTGTTTTGGGACTGCTGGTTTTGTTTTGCACAGAAAGCTGTACATCTGAAGCTGACATTGAAAAAATGGAGTAAAGAGGTGTATGGTAATGTAGCATCCAAACTCCAAGAGTCTGAATATGAACTCAATGAGCTGGATCTGATAGCTGAATCCAAGCCTTTGGAGGATGAGGAATTGAAGTTAAAAAGAGAGACCAGAAATGAAATGTGGAGGCTGAACAGGAACTTGGAATGGAAATGGCTTCAAAAATCCAGGTTTGACTGGAATTTGAAAGGAGATAGAAACAAAAGATACTTCCATGCCATGGCAAAATAAGAACACACTAAACTCCATCACAATAGGGGACTTAGTGCTTGAAGAGCCAAGTCAAGCTAAAAATGAGGTGTGGACCCATTTTTGAAAGCATTTCACAGAAGACTGGATGAACAAACCAGTGCTTGTTAGGGATTTCAAAAGTGTAAGGCACAGTGACTCATTCCATATGCTTGAAGAAGAGTTTACTGAAGTGGAGTTATGGGTAGCTGTTAGAGAATGTAATGGGAATAAAGCTCTAGGGCCAAATGGATTCAACCTGATGTTTTTCCAAAAAAATTGGAAGGTTATTAAGGAGGAAATACTCAACTTTATGAAGGAATTTCATGCAAATGGTGGACTAACTATAGGTCTGAATAGCACTTTCATCTCTCTCATCCCAAAGAAAGAGAAAGCTATTAATCTGAATGAGTTTAGGCCTATTAGCTTGATTGGGTCAATTTACAAACTTCTCTCAAAAGTCCTTGCTTCTAAACTAAAAAGAGTCTTGCCCATGATTATTGGAGATACACAGTCAGCTTTTTTTGGAGAAAGGAATATACTTGATGGTATTCTAATTATAGTTGAGATAGTGGATGGTTGGACCAAATCTGAGAAAAAAAGATTGTTGCTTAAGTTAGACTTTGAAAAGGCTTTTGACTCCATTAATTGGGATTTCCTATTCTTAATGTTAGCAAATTTTGAGTTTGGTACCAAATGGATTTCATGGATAAAAGAATGTGTTTCTATAACAAGACTCTCAGTCCTTGTTAATGGCTCACCAACCATGGAGTTTAGACCTCAAAAAGGCCTTAGACAAGGTGATCCCCTATCACCTTTCCTATTTATTTTGGTCATAGAAGCACTAAATATTCTTCTGCAGAGAGCTAGAGAATTGAGATTGCTACAAGGGGTAGTCATTGGAACCAACCGTGTAGTGATCTCTCATTTACAATTTGCAGACGACTCTTTACTGTTCTGTGAAGCTGAGAAGTTCTCTATTTGAAGAGGATCCTTAGGTGCTTTGAAATAGTTTCAGGGCTTAAAATCCACTATCATAAAAGTGTACTTTGTGGTATTGGTCTCTTTGATCCAGCCCTTCATGATTTTGCCTCCTTACTCAGCTGCAAGACTCAGAGATTGCCACTAAATTATCCAGGTTTGCCTATGGGTGCTAGCCCTAGGAGAAAGAAAACTTGGAACCCTGTTATTGACAAGTTTAAAATGAGGCTTGCTGGCTAGAAAAGGAGATTCCTATCTTTTGCAGGAAGATTAACATTGGTGAAGGCAGTGTTGTCCAGTCTACCAGTGTACTTTTTGTCTTTGTTTAAGCTACTTGAAGGAAGAGCAAAGGAGATGGATAAAATTCAAGCTTCATTCTTATGGGGTGGCTCAGATTTGAAGAGGAAAATTCATCTGGTGAAATGGTCAGAAGTAACTAAAAGTATCAAGCAAAGTGGGCTAGGCATAAGAAGAATTAGAGATGTGAATGTGTGCTTGCTTCTCAAATGGTGGTGGAGATTTGCTTCTGAACATGATTCATATATGGAAAAGGGTCCTCTACAGTAAATACAGATTTCAAGGAGGGGAATGGTTACCACATCTAAACCCAGGCATTATCTTCTCTAGAATTTGGAGTGATATTGTAATAGTAGTTGAGCAGAAAGTACCTTTACTCATGTACTATGTTTCCCACTTACAATTAAGAGTAGGAAATGGTTGTAGAATAAGGTTCTGGCATGACAAATGGTGTGGAGATATCTACCTTAAAGATGAGTTCCCAAGGCTATTTCGGTTGTCTACTGATAAGGAGGGATCAATTAAGGACCTACTGGAGATCACAGGCAACTCTTACAATTGGCCACTTACTTTTAGGAGACCCCTATTTGAATGGGAAAAAGAGGAGCTACTTAGACTCAATGGAATGTTACGAGAAGCACCTGCATTTAATCTAGAGGTCAATGATATAGCAACATGGACTGCTGCTAAACCAGGTCAGTCCCTTGTATCTGTTTTCTATAATCATACCAATCTTGCTTTTGGGGGCAATGTCAGCTTCAGTAGAAGGGTGTGGATCAATTATCTCCCTCCTAAAGTGCAATTCTTTGGTTGGCTTACATGGAAAAATAAGGTTAAAACATTAGTATTCTTGTAGTAGCTTGGAATTTTGGGTAGGGACTCATCTATCCTGTGTACTTTTTGCAAAGCTTAGCAAGAATCAATTGATCATGTGTTAATTTTCTACCCTATGGTGTGGAGAGTTTGGTCTGGGCTGTTACAGTGGTGGGGGCTAGTTTGGGTGGTACTTGGGTCTGTACAAAGACTGATTCAGTGATGGGCAGGGCACTGCTATAGAAAAGAAGAAAAGAGGATTTGGAGTACAATACCTCTGGTGGCTCTTTGGTCCTTGTGGAAACACATAAATGAGTGTCTCTTCCAAGGCTCACAACCTCGGCTACAAAAGCTTGAAGAGCTCATTATCACCAGGTTAGCTTTTTGATATAAAGCTTCATCCAAGAGGTCTCAATTCTCAATTAATGACTTTCTCTTCAACATTCCACAAATCAGGTATTGCTTAGGTGGAAGGGCCTAGAGGGTATGTTATGTATCAAGAAAGTATACGTCAGGAGTGTGGTGGCCGTTGGTTTGAAGTTCAGTTGCTGTCAATGCAGGTTTGGGTGCTGGTTTTGTGGTTGTTTTGTTTTGTCTTTCCTTCACAACAACAGCTTCCATTGGTATATCAGCAACTGATATTTCCCTAGAACTCAGCTTTGTCTTGATTTGAAGGCAACACAACTTTGTCTTGGTGGTTTTATGCAACATAACAGGTCATCAGCATCATAGGATGATCTTGGTGAAGTTTTGGTGTATCAAGCAAAGGAGATTTTTGTGGCTGCTTAGTCTCAGTGCCTCATTAGAGGGTGTATTGGTTGAACTATCTGTTAGTATGCTTTGCTTTGCTGTTATGTCACTCTACTGCCTGCCTGTCTCGGTGTTAGTCTTGGTGCTTTTCTACTAGTTATTTATGGAATGTGATGTCCTGCTCAGAATTGTGTTGTCCTGCTATTCTGTTTTGCTCATCTAGGGCTACTTCTAGTGGTTGGTTTGTTGGTTGCCTTTATTGCTCTTGTTGCTTTAGCTTTGTTTGTTGGTTTCTCACCAACTAAAGCTTGGAGCTTGAGCTAGCTCCAAGCTCCTCTTTATTGATGTAATTTTCATACTTTGTATGTTCTCATCAATAGAGATTTCTTTTGCCGATAAAAAATAATAAAAAAAAATAAAAATAAAAAGAAGTAGGTTCGAATTTGGGTTTGTGAAGAAGTTGATGAGATCATTGGCAGTGATCTCAGCAAAGGATCATTACCTGAAGATTCAACAGCTTCAACATCAACAAACTCTACCTTGAAAAAAGATAGAAAGCCAAGGCTACAGCTTTTGATGGCCGATAGCAGCCAAGAAGCCATTATTCCACTGAGCAATGGTTTTTAAACTTCCAAGGTTTATATACTTGAGCAATGGCTTCTTGGCTACCATTATTCCATTGAGCAATGGCTTCCAAGGATCATTTCTCGACACTTACCATGAGATGGTGGCCCTTTTAGGGTTACCGGGGAACAGCTAAGAATTGAAAATGACACCTGACAAAAACCAAATAAAAAAGGAGTAATGCTAGAGATCCCAAATAATCTACCAAATGTTTTACCAAATCTCTCACATGGGTGTGGGACCCACACATATGTGGGTTTGTGTGGCTTCCACATCCATATAAGAGGTTTGGTAAAATATTTGGTAGATTATTTGGGGTCTCTAGCATTTTTCATAAAAAAAAAGTTCATATCCAATTCAAATCAACAAATTATACGGTTAATTTGAGTAACCAATTACAACTCGATCAACTTTTTTCTTTTTCTTTTTTTGTTAGTAAACTGGAAAATTTTATTAATGAAGAAGGCAAAATACAAGTGAAACTTACATCAATAAAGTAGAAAAGTGCTTTATTGATAATTTTTTTTATTCATAATCCAAACTCATCTGGTTAATAAATGGGCTTAAACGGGGTTGGGTTAGATTGGAAATCGGGTTGTACAAATGAACCCAACCAACTCATTTATTTACTTCATTTGTTTTATAATTATAATTATAATTATTACTTATTTATTTTTTTAAAAAAATTATTTATTACCATTATTGTTATTTTTATGACGACGATGGCGGTGGAAGAGCTGTGATGGTAGAGTGGTGGTGGTAGAGTAGCGTTAGTAGAGGAAGAGGTGATGTTGGTGGTGTGTCAGCGGTGGTGGAGTGGTAGTGGTGGAGGAGGCAGTGGTGGTGGACTGGAAGTGACGGTGGTGGTGGTGGAGGAGGTGGTGGTGAAGTGGCAGTAGTGAAGGTAGATTGGTGGTAAAAGTGGTGCTTATTTAGATGAGTTTAAATAGATACTCATGTCCAACCCATGTAAATTCAATTTTAATTGAGTTGACAATGAATAATTCATTAACAACAATGCTAGGTGGCTCGAATTTTCAAAACTCAAATGGCTCGTATGTCTCACGAAGTCATTTTTGGTATAAAATAACATCGTTTTGACACATTCGAGTCATTCAGGCCACATAAATTTGGGCCACCAAATATTTTTCTTCATTTAAACTCATTTATTAATTTCAACTAGTTTATATGAGTTTTAAATAGATATAATTAAGCAGAATTATGGATAAATTTATGGATTTAGACTGGATTTGCCACCTCTACATATGATTTCCCTCATTATACGTCGCTAGGGGTGTGTTTAGAACAACTTTAAAATGTCACATTTTTTTTTCAATTTTTCTTATCATTAGTCACCTTTAGTTAAATTATATCATTGTTTTTTTAATTTCTCCACTACGCTTTATGTACAAAAATAATAAGAATAAAAAAAAAGCTCTGAAAAAAAAAAAAGAGAAAAATTTGTCTGTAAATCCCATTTTGAGGAATGGTAATCTGTTTAGTCCTAAAGATTTTTTACCAATTAGTCCTATTAGTTT